GTTTCATTTTTGTTCAATTAATGTTGAGCACATTTTTGATACAAGATTAAAACCGTGAAAATCTAAAGGATGTGTTTGTAATATGTAATCTAGACTGTTGTCACGAAGTGAAGATGTATGTAGTATGTGTGTTTGGTAATTCTGATATTACGGTAGCCTTCTATGGAATACAGTCTGTAGACAGGCACGTTATTGATCCAATGTGAATGCTGCAACCTGTGTCAAATAAAAGACAAAGACCGCGTGGCCTAATGGACAAGGCGTCCGACTTCGAATCGGAAGATTGCGAGTTCGAGTCTCGTCGTGGTCGATTTCATCTTGCTACTGTCTATGTACACTTTTTGTTCCTTAGATAATATACATTCAAATCAATCAGTTATAAAAAGAATTTGATTTAAATGTTGAGGACTTAGATTTTACCGGTATGTAGGTAACGCAATGACGACATATTTTCACATGTCTGACAATGTAGCATTGCTACCCAGTAAACTAACTCAGTCATGAAGTTGTCCTCTTGTATAAAGATGGAAATTTAAAATCACATTTCTTCCCCAGTATGTCTTGATTAACTAATTGCAATCCTTTATAAATCCTTTTCAATCACATCGTGATTGATCTATGTGTAAAAGCCTGCTGTCAAAACTTTGCTTTTACTCGGCTTTATTCGACATTTGAGGACGTAGAGGTCAAATTAAACACCATTAGTAATGGTAAACCGCATTGCAGTGTCGTGATATGAAACTAGTAAACCGGCGACCAATTCGAGAAGAGATGTTCTGCCATACATCGTTGAAGGCTCCAGCAAGTCTTATTGCTGTTTTAAAGTTCCTCACACATTGCCCAAGGACGTCCCAAACATCCATTTGGCGTCAAATCAGGTAATGTCGATGGTCAATCTAACATCTCTGCATATTATTACGCTACACGAATTTGCTGCTAACGCAACTTTTGTGCAAGTTATCTTGCTATAATTGGAACAGGGCATGACGTTTTAAGAAGTGTAAGAATCAATGGTCTTAGAATTCAGTCCCGATAATCTGACACAATCCCCCACCCTCAACTATTATCAAACCATCACAACGGTTTGTGGCGCGACAGTTCGCAAAACGTTACAATCGTTGCCTCCACACTCTGCGCATTCTTTTTCCGTGTTGGTAAAAAATGGTCACACCTGAAAATAGAACATTGTCCAATGTTCCATTGCCACAAGGCCAAACTCTGATAAACTGCATGTTGTTGACTGCTTTCACGACAACCGATCCATATTCCTGTCGCTGATTACGAAGGTCATCCCTGACGATTGTTTACAGGTTGGCCGAGACTTTCCAGACTGGATCATTCCTAACGACCTTTCCCTCTATTTTTGTGACGGCCGTGACATAATGAAAAATTATATTTATTTGGTAAATTCAATTTCAAGTCCTGATAATCTAAGAACGGGTATTTTTGATTTTTTAAAAAAGAAATTCAAGCGAAGGCATATGTAAGTCATAGCAAACCTTGTGAAACTCTCTCGTTAATAGAAACTGATTTGGATAACGCCTTGTGGTTTTGTATTGTAAACAATTGTCATATCCTTATATTGAAAACACTTAGTATTGTTTTTACACATTTACAGATATCCACCAAGTAAACATGTTATGTAAAAAATAAACTGATTTTATTTCGCATTCTTGAATATCATGATTGCCAATCGGGTTGTAAATGCTTTCTCCTTGGACCTTCCTAGACGCCATAGCATTTCAATGTTATATGAAGTCAATGAATAAAGAACAATAAATCGGTCTTGGTGAATGTATGGAAAGTGTCTTTAACAAAGTAAAGTTACACATGTATGCGTTTCATATTTTTTTTCAAGCTTACAGTCTGTTGGATAAGCTGTTCTAAGTCAGCAAAGTATTGTGGAACCGTCAACAACAGAAATACGTTGGATATAACTAACCCAAATCTACCAGTTTATTTGTTTGTTCGTTTTGTTTACAAAACACAACCTCACTTCCAACAGACCGCGTGGCCTAATGGATAAGGCGTCCGACTTCGAATCGGAAGATTGCGAGTTCGAGTCTCGTCGTGGTCGGCTTCATTTTGATCTTAGATCAACAGTTGAGTTGTAACTGAACACTATTACAAGTTTCCCTGGAAAATAGAATTACAGCCATACGTATGTGTTCCGTAAAATTCAAGACAAATATTTCTAACTTACTTTCGTATGTTCGTTGTCCTGTTGTTATACCCTTACTGTTTATTCTTTATACTTTTTATTGTTAATAAAGTCTGAAATTCCAGAGGTCCACATCCAGATGTTGACTGGTTACGTCACAGCTCAGTGCTGTTTGGTACTTTTCGGTCGTTATTCGCCATTAAGCAAAAGTGCCCCCCCCCCCCCCCCCCATTTATCCCGACTTTTTAGACGTCAGCTTCAGGCCCAATGTTTACATGTCGTCTATCATCATGGACAGATTTGCTGAAAAAAGGTATCTATAATTATTTGTTTTCTTAGATATCGACGGTAGAAGGTATTTCGATCAACATTTGTTATGTTAAACCATAGGATCAAACAGTTAAGTCCTCTTGTTGACCTCAAACCCAGTAAACAAATGTCTAATGTTCTATTTAACAATTTCTAAATGAAACGATTAATGTTTTTAATGAAAATAATTGATTTATCAATGGAGTATTGATATGACAACAAATTCTAAATTCACTATCTAAATCGATGAAACGAGCGTAAATTTGCATTAAATTGTTTACATGGCTACCCTTGAAAATGTACAGATAGAATGGACCAGGTGTTCTGAAAGGGTAAGCTTCTCATGATACCTGGGAGACACCCGCCATGTAAATCAACGTCAGTTCATGCTCTCTGGGTATTTAACGTCAAAAACGCCGAACACAACAAGCGTCGAACCAATATATCTCAACATCATGCATGGATGATGAATATTTCTCAGTGACATGAAACTTTCAAAAATCTTTTCAACATACATCTCTGGAGACGAGACTTGGTATTGCATATAGAATAAATAATCTTATAACTCCACTACTAGAAGATTTAAGTACTAGCACTGACGTACGTAGTGTACAAGATGGCAAGAAATAGACCTATATTTAGGCTGAACTATACTATGTGCACTATTTCACGATTTAAATTTTCGCGATCATATCAATGTTTAGCGAAACCGAAAATATCATCTCCGCGAAAATAACCTGCAACAGAAGTAACTAAAATTGGTATTATCCCATGCAGAGAGAACGATAGGGAAAGGAAGAATACAGTGGTTGCAGTCTCCGTTATGTAAGTCAATAGCAAGGATCGGGTTCTGGGCTAGCAGAAAAAGGCGTGTTCTTTAAAAGATAAAGATAAGTATAAGTTGTGTTGATATTAGTCACTGCTTCTTTTTAAAGAGTGTTTTTTGAAACAAATTAATATAACAGAAATATTTTACATTTAAGGAGACCTTTGATAAGTATGGTGGAACCGTCAGTCGGATATAACTAACATCAAATCAATGTTAAATTGTTCGTTTCGTTTACAAAACAAAAAATGACTTTCAACAGACCGCGTGGCCTAATGGATAAAGCGTCCGACTTCGAATCGGAAGATTGCGAATTCGAGTCTCGTCGTGTGACAAAGTCAAATTCAAGAAAAGATTGCGATCGATTTACAAAAGCAGTGTTGATGAACTAGCGAACGTCCGGCAATCACTCTATGATCTGGCAATAGAGACAAGTTCGGATACGCCCCGTGGGTCACTTATTAAGCGTACTAACGGTGGACATACGTCTGCGATTGAGAAATACCTGGATGAAATATTTTCATTATACCACTATATCGACGGTGGCAATGGAAGCAATGACATTAAATATATGGTGACGAAAACGAAAGACAAACTCGATATGGAAAACAACTCGCAGTGTGAAAATCCCGACGTATCAGTACTATCCTGTGACACTTCACCAAAACAAGTGTATAGAACGTAATCAATCGTGCGTGAAGACAACGGTACTGGTCAGCCACATACTACTCATGGGCCCATTTCTGATAGTAACAACAAGTTTAACGACCAAACAGTTGCTGATTTGTTTATATTAATTGTCAACATGAGAAATGAAATGATTTCGGGGATAGAATATATCACTAAGGATCTTCGTGAAGATATTCGGGATCTGAAATCTGAAATACGTGATGTCCGCGCTATAAATGAGCGAAAAGACAAAGAAATAAAATCATTAGAAAATATCATACAGGATTTGTGAGTACAAATAGAACACAAGGGGTTGTCCATGGATTCGACGAAACAAAGTACGCTACAATGCCCAGATCAGTCTGAATCTAGAATCAAAGTACCGCAAGTACTGAATGAGAAATCATCAAATATTATGTCACAAGGACCTGCTGTTCTCCAGTCTGTTATATCGCATCACGCTAGCTACGCAGAGATTGCGCAAGGTGCTAGCGATTCTAGCGTGCTCTCTGTCACAGTAGGTGACGACGTGAAACCTGGTACAAATCAACGAGGACGGAACGTAACTTTCCACGGTTACAATACTAAACAGCAACTCGGCGAGCGCGAGAACAGTGATGACTCACGGACGTCCTCATATCAGTTTCGTGGCGTAAAACGCAAACAGCGCAACAGGCAACTCGTTATGTCTAGAATCACAGCCAATGCTGAAGAGGAGGAGGTGATCAGCTCCATAGTTAGCTTTGCCGCTGAAAGAGGTGTCAAGGTGACCTACATGAAAATAATTAAATACTGGGGAGGTGATGAGCCCACATATACAGCCAGACTTAATGTTCGTGAATGTGACTTCGGGAAAGCTACAGATCCAACATTCTGGCCGGAAAATATTCTGGTACGCGAATGGGAGTACCGGAAACGATTCGATGGTGTACCGCGCTCTAATACGACATCATGGAGTTAAAGCATTCCACAAAGATATACTCGTTCTCTATATGTATAATTTTCACAGTTCTCTGTTGGAACATTCGCGGTGTAATGTATGGTACACCGTTATTAACCGAACTTCTGGCAGATACCGACATTGCCGTTATAACAGAACATTGGCTATTGCCAGAGCAGATGAACTTCTTAAATAGCATCGATGCAAATCTTAAAGCTTACGGGGTTAGCGACAAAAGAATTCCAGTTGAACCTGAGAATAGAATATGCAATCGTGGATATGGTGGTTTAGCTATATTATGGCGCAACCAATTAAATGTATGTCCAGTTCTGTCTGACGGAAGTGACAGAGTACTTTGCTGTTCTGTACAGCTTCACAACAAGTCTTGTGTCTTTGTCATCGGTGTCTTACTTCCATCTACGAACGTTCCATTGTGTGAGTATAGAGAAACATTGGAATATATCTCCGACCTCTATGATAAATTTTCAGACCAAGGACATGTAATTGTTGTAGGCGATTTCAATGCTCAAATCGGAAAACGTTTCGGAGAAAAGAATCGCGTGAATCCAAATGAAAGAGGTCGCTTATTGGAAAGCTTTATAGACGAGAAAAGTCTAATATCGGTCAATTCTCAAGCTTGGGCGAAAGGTGGTCTATCAACATTTGTTTCGAAGGATGGACATGAATTTCTCATCGATCACGCTATGGTCAAATCTACAAAAGTAGACTGCGTAAGTGAATGTATTATACTTGATGACAATTATCTTAACGCTTCTGATCATCTTCCCATAATCCTACGTTACAAGGTACCAGCTCTCTTGAGTAGACGGAAACGCAGTGCACATGCCGTAAACTGGAATAAATGTACCGCTCAACAAAAAGCAAACTATGCTTTGCAGGTCTCTGAAATTCTATCTACATATACAGACAATGTAGCTAGGATAAGTAATGTCGACTTGTTACAACGTACAGTAAATGACGTTGTTTTTGCTGTACATGAAGCGGCAAGGAAAACTTTGCCCTTCAAAAGATATCGACCATACCTTAAGCCTTATTGGAAAAATGGACAAGTTAAACAACTCCACAAGGTCATGCGTGAAAAGCGGTTAATATGGCTGGGGGAAGGTAAACCACGAGGATCTCAGTCTCAATCGTATTGCGAATATAAGCGCTGTAAGCGTAATTTTCGGAACGAGCTTAGCAGAGCGCGGGAAGAGTATGAGCAAAGGCAATTTCAAGAACTGCAAGCCGCAGCGGAGATGGATTCCGGAACATTCTACAGGACCATTCGCGCAAGGAAGTTGAATAGGCATGAATCGTCCGAGATCAGAATTAATGGCGAAATATCTCGTGATCCTGATATAAATCGTAATGCATGGACGTCACACTACAGCAAACTAGCTCAGGTTACATCCAAGCCTCATTTTGACAATGAGCATAAACGTCTAATCGACAATGACATCAATCGGCTGCGCGAGGAATCCTTTTTCAATGACGATATAATCTGTCGCAACGAAATTACAGCGACAGAAGTTTCTATTGCATTAAAGGATATGAATAACGGTAAAGCAGGCGGTCACGATTACGTAGTTGTGGAACACATTCGATTTGCTGGTAACTGTTTGTTAGATCTCGTTACCATAATATTCAATTCTATTCTTGAAATCGAAGACTATCCACCTTCATTTAAGCATGGAATAGTGATATCCTTATTCAAAGGAGGGAAAAAGGATAGACTCGATATGAATAATTATAGAGATATAACTCTGACTCCCGTTCTTCAGAAGCTTTTTGAAAAGGTCATGTACAAGAGAATTGCGAAGGTTTCCGAACACAATAACTTCCCACACGGACTGCAACAAGGATTCCGACCACTTTGTGGTAGCATCACAGCAGCATTTATAGTGAGAGAAGCGGCACTTCATTATTTAGAAATGCACACGAATGTGTACGCCGCGTTCTTGGACAATGCGAAGGCCTTCAATAGTGTATGGGTAAATGGACTACTGTATAAATTGTACCATAATGGATTCAATGGTAAAATTTGGCGTATTCTACAAAATTCCTTTAAAGATGTGACATCTTGTGTATTGTACGAAGGAATAAAGGGGAATGCGTACGAGGTCAAGCAAGGTGTCGGTCAAGGTCGGACTTTGTCATCCTGGATGTTTCTTGTAATGATCAACGACCTGATTTCAAACCTTGACTCTACTAGTCTTGGTCTACAAATTCATGGGCTCCACATACCAGCGGTGTTCCTGGCGGATGATACGTTGCTTCTCTCGTCTTCTGTCGGCAATATTCAAAACCTCCTTGACACGGTATATGAATTTTCCTGCAAGTGGAGATTGGCCTATAATCCAGCGAAAAGCTCGCTGCTACGATTCTATCAAGGTAGGAAAAAGAGTGTTCCAGAAATTGAATGTAAGTTGGGTGAACAAGCTATACAGTGGGCCACAGAGAAGGAATATGCCGGGATTATACTCACTCAGTCCCTACAATGTAACGAGGACATTAAACGATCATGCGCAAAAGGGCGCCAGTCGCTAAATGCCCTAATAAGCGCAGGAATTCATGACGGGGGTATGAACCCTCTCATCAGTTGCAAGTTGGTTGAATCAATTGTCCAGCCAGGAATTCTCTATGGCTCGGAGTTATGGGGAGCTCCTACCAATCGCTCACAAGAAGATCTCCGACTGACGCAAAGGTATTTGGCTCGTAGGTGTCAGGGTTTCGAGAAAAGATCTCCAACTCTGGTGACCATACGGGCAATTGGCCTGCTCGATATTTGTGGCGAGGTTGAAAAAAGAAAGCTTATGTTTTGGAACAAACTGTGTCTTGCTAGTAATACATTTGTCTGGAAAATGCTGTTCATCATTAGATTATGTACCTTTTTATTCGGTAGAAACAACATTAGTCCAAAAAGTTTCATATACGATATATTCATAACTGCTTCAAAACTAGGTATATCGTCTAGCATATTCGATTATGTCTTTGAGGGCTTCTGTCCCTTACGTTCATCATGGAGACAGTTCTGTAACCGAGTAGACCATGACTTTTACTATTCAAAGTGGAGTCAGCGAATCGTGATGGAACCTTCCCTTAAGACGTTTTGCTCAATTCAGGATAGTTGTGGGCCCCATCCTTCGTGGATCCTCGGCAAAGAATATCCAAGTTTCACGTGGAAACTTGGAGAACTGATTAAATTGTCGTATCGTTATATGACAGAACCCGTTAATTGTAAATTGTGTAAAAGACATGTCGACGACATAGCAGTACATTTCCTTATTCAATGTCCAGCAAAAGACTAGCTTCATTCTCGGAAGTAAGCAGGATTTAGCACTTGATTACGAAAGATGGTCGGTTTTGATGCTGAACACTGCGAAATTTGTATATATTATGCTCTGCGAAATGAACACTTTAATTGAAATTTAACTCTGCAAAATGAACATTTTTTTTCTGTAGAATTAACTCTAATATGTAATTATATCGACAAACATATGTACTGATGAAATCTCTGCAAAGAGGAAATAAAGAAAGTCAGTCAGTCAGTCAGTCAGTCACTAACATCAAATCAATGTTAAATTGTTCGTTTCGTTTACAAAACAAAAAATGACTTTCAACAGACCGCGTGGCCTAATGGATAAGGCGTCCGACTTCGAATCGGAAGATTGCGAGTTCGAGTCTCGTCGTGGTCGGTTTCATTTTACCTTAAATGTACCATAGTCATAAGAAATAAGTTGAGTTAGATTCAAAGGAAAAACAGTCACCATAACAATATCACACCCCTGAAATTGAGGATACCGGAACATAGAATCCAACAGAATGACCGGTAGCGGTCACTTTCCATCATATTTTGACCAATCAATAAAAATCAAAGTACTGAAAGTACTGAGAGGCTAAAAAATGTTCACAAATAACCGCTAAGCTGTATTACTTTCCCCATACTCCTACACTTTGGAATGCAAAAATTACTAAAATAAGAGAACCAGAGGCTATTTTCCTTAATTTTAAGCGATTTTATATCTTCTTTAATTCTTATTTCAAATTTGACGACAATAATGTGAAAAAATCAAAATAGGTAAAAAAAAATAAATAACAAAATACACACAACCATATATTCATCGCCAACAAGCCAAATGATAAATAGCTCTTTGATGAAGTTGACCAAATAAAACCTTTGAAATTCCCAAGATGTTGCAATTACTATCCTATCAATATGAGGACTTAGACAAATCGAAAGGACTTTATACCTACTTCTCTATTTTAAATGTGTTGCAAAGTAATAGTCCTTACTTATTATAATTAAATTTGTAGTTGAGGAAAGTAGATAAGGTGTACACAGCATTTCAGATAGATAAAAGTGTAAATAATTACATTAAATGTATTTACATGCCTATCTTCCTTGAAGTATCATGGTTAGATTTTTATTCCAGTAATTATATCTATAAAGACATAGTTCTATGAGATTAAACTAGACTTCCATATATATACAAAATTTACAATATTTTCAGTATAGCTACTATTATTTCTGATCCCCAATGCATTAGATAATGTCACCATAACATGCAAAATGAATAACTATGTTATGGAAATATTTCGTTCTTGTTAATTGATAATTATAGACATGGATATTTTGTTTTTTTATACGCGTTTTGTTTGAAGGAATATTTTCATTTCAAGGAACTTTGATACACATGAACAAACCTAGAGAAATCAGCACAATCAACCTTCATCAAATAAAACTAAAAGATAATAAATGTAAGTTATTACAAAGTCAACATCATGATCAGTACAGTATTAAAAATATATTATTCATAAATCATGAGCACCAATTGTACCTTGCCTACGAAGCGCAAACTTTTTGTCTACAAAAACTTGTGTCATGGCGGTGGGTGTGAAAAACCTGAAAAAGTGTCATATCGGCGGATTATTATTATTATTATTATTATTCTCTTTATTTCCTCCTTTAAGAAGATTTCACAAAAAGAACAACATTAATTTAGTGAAAGAGAACGCTGAATTGGCATACAAATCAAAATTATTACCAAGATATTATAACATTAGGATTATTATAGTAATTAAGTCGTTCCAAAATCACATCGGAACATTGAAGTACATCATTTTTGCAATAGTGATTATTATAACATAAGCATAATAATGATTAAATAGTTACAAAATACCAAAGTAACATATAAGATGTATCATAATTACATTACTCATATATATATACATTGCACTTAATGATAATTCTTTAGATGTAATTTGTATCATATACATTTTAGCCATAATATGCTTTAAGCATTTTTGAAATATAATGGACTGAATTAAGGTAAAACTGTGATATTTCTTTTAAATTCAATTCATACATTACTTGTCCACCAATCAAGATATAGAATAGGTCAAAATCTGAGTGATTATGTAAATATACGCTAAACTCATGATCACTGATATTGATCATTTGACACCATAATTGATCTCGAATTTCTTCAGTAAAATTGCACTGTAAGACTATATGAGTATACACATCTTCATACGTTTGGCCACATCTGTGACATAATTCAACTGTGTTTACATTTCTGATGGACACAATAAGTTTCATAATACTACCTATGGATTCCTTATTCTGAGGAAACTTAATTAATAGCTTCCACAATATGTGTGGAGCTAGTTTATTATGAATTAATTTAAATCTATAGAACTCGCGGTCATCATCCATTCTTTCTTTCCACGAGTTTTCTTCGTATGAATGAACTGTACATTTTACTTTGTTCTTCCATTTACTCTTTGAAGGGAAAGATCCGCGTGCTAAACATTCTTTTACCATTTCATACAGATCATATTTTCTCAAAACTCGAACAACATCATTCATGAATCCGCGATCATTCAAATTACTTTCATGCATATTAGTGCTTACATCCGCCATAAAAAGGCGAGTAAAACATACAGTACAAGACACACTCTCTTTCCCTAAATTACACAATCTTCCAAAAAATGTTAGCTTCCTAGTATCTATATATGATTCTAAGCTAAGCCAACCAAGCAAGCTGCTACACATATCCGTTCGAGTCCTCATATGGAACCCCTGAATCGATTTGAGAATAAAACGTTGAGTTCTTTCCAACATTAAAACTTCTGCTTTTGCAAGACACCATAATTCACAGCCATATAGGGCTGTTGGATAAATTCTTGTTTTAATTATTTTACTTACTGTTATGGGGTTTAATGCACACGGATGAGCACCACACTTAATGAGGCTCATCACACCACTCTTTAATCTGTTGCATGCACGTATTGTACGTTCTGTACTGTTGAAATTATTGTTTAACATGACACCAACATGCGTTATATTTTCTACTACTGGAAGAGGATGCTCATACAGATACAGTTGTATACTTGACCCTTTCTGCTTTCTTCTAGAAATACACATAATATTACTTTTCACTGCAGAAAACACAAAGCGCCACTTTTTACTATAATCTTCACACACGCTTAACATGTGTTGTATACTTTTATGTTGTGTACTGACTAGACAAATATCATCTGCCTGTGTTGGTATATTAATTCTTAAATCGGCAATAATAGCACCCATTCCACATTTTTCAACACAATCTAGTAAATCATTAATGAAGACGAGATACATTTTTGCAGACAATGCGCTCCCCTGTAAGATTCCCCTTTCCATCTTTATCCATCTTGATCTTAAACCATTAAATAAGACACTACTTCTTATGTCTGTATATATTGCTTTCAAAATGTGCCATGACTTAGCAGTTATTCCCAATTGATGTAACTTATAAAGTAAACCGTCATGCCAGACAGTGTCAAAAGCTTTGTTACTGTCTAAAAAGGCTACAAAAACGTTTTCACCCCTTTCTACATTATAATGTATACATTCCTGCAGGTTAAATGAGGTTAACAAACTACAGAGCCCTTTTTGGTAAGCTGATTGTTGCTTATTTGGAAAAGAAACAGAAGAAAGAACTGGTTCCAATCTATTCGCTAAAATCATTTCGAACACTTTAAAGATGACTGGTAGAAGAGTTAACCCCCTATAACTATTAGGATCATCCTTAGGTTTAGGATGACCTTTGTACAATGTGATAATAGTCCCCTTCTTCCATCCATATGGTATATATTGACTCTCAACTACTGCATTGAATAACTTTGATAAATGAGCAAAAAGGTCTGAGTTTCCCAATTTCAAGTGCTCATATACTAGACCGTCCATACCTCCTACCTTATTTGATTTTAGATTCCTGCAGATTATTTCGATTTCAGCTTGCGTGATTGGATCTTTTAAGAATCTCTCATCTTTCAAATCTTTTCTTTCTATTTCTTTCACTTTACTTGATATATGGATCCTAAAGTTTTCATCAAATATACTATTAGAATCATCTTTAAAAATTCTCTCAAAATGAGAAGCCCATTTATCTACAATAATTTCCGGGTCTCTGAAAGTTTTTCTGTCACATCTAAATTCAGTTTGGCAACGTCTTTGTTTTGTCGTTTTATTTCTGATTAAATGCCAAAAAAGTTTCTGATCTATGTCATTTGCTCGCTCAATTTCTTTTAATTGATCAGACATGTATTTATCGAAAGCTTGTCTAAGGTTTCTCCTAAACTCTTTCTTCATCCATTTATATTCTTTATAACTGTTCGAACAATCTCTAGGTCTACCTTCAACAATCCATTTTTGTCTGCTACTTTTCATATTACTATGAAACTGTGATAACTGATCATTCCAGTATGGTTTTAAGTAGGGTTTGTATTTCGACACAGGTACAGATTCTATGGACGAATTATATATAGCACTCACAATATCACAATAATATTTCTCAATCACATTCTCACTTAGACTCACATTCTTATACTCAATATTCTCAGCTCCTACAATCTTAATACGAGCTAAATTCCGACTTAAAGCTACTTTATAGTTCTCAGCTACAGCTCTTTTCCAACTAAACCGTGTTTGGTTTACATGATTATTTAAGGAAGCATCTACTGGTATTCGAATTGAACTGATTACAGGAACATGTTCCGACAAATTAAGTTCACTTTCATCTAAAATTGACGCACTCTGTACTAAATCAAGGGAGCTTGCTTCAATGATAATATGGTCAATAAGTGTTGATTTACCCGTTTGGGGAAAAAACGAACTAAATGGACCTCTACACGTATTTTGTACATTGATGGATATCAAATTACACCGGCTTAAAAACTCCTGAAAAATCTTAGACCTATCATTTTCAACAAAGCTACACCGAGGACCTTTAATCTTGACATTCATATCGCCCATAAACATAACCTG